AAGGGAGACAAGAAGGGTGACAGTGGGACTGAGCAGGAAGTAGATGCAGGGGTCTCGGTAGGCAGGATGGGTATCTGTGCCCCTTCATTCATTCCACAGTCATTTTCTGAGCACCCAAGGTGTGTCAGGCTCTGTGCCCTAGAAACAGCAGAGTTTTTGCTAGGACAGCAGTCCAGCCCTAGCAGAGCTGACATCCCAGTGGGGGCCCTGCCCTGGCTCCATGGGTGGTCAGGCACTGGGGTGGGGACCCCCCAAGGCCTTTACCAGCTCTCCTCTCTTCCCCCTCCGGTGGTGATTAACAGAGGACGCAGGAGGGAGACATGGGTTGAATGTCTCCCACCCCTGCAGGTGATGTTCTGCACCCTCAACACCCACAAAGTGGACATGGACAAGCTCCTCGGGGGCCAGATCGGGCTGGAGGACTTCATCTTTGCCCATGTCAAGGGGCAGCGCAAGGAGGTGGAGGTGTTCAAGTCAGAGGAGGCGCTGGGGCTCACTATCACAGACAACGGGGCCGGCTATGCCTTCATCAAGGTGCCTGGGGGTGGGGCACCTGATCTTGAGGGTAAGGACCCAAGGGCAGAGGCACGGGGACTGACAGCTCCTCTCCCCACAGCGAATTAAGGAGGGCAGCGTGATCGACCACATCCAGCTCATCAGTGTGGGTGACATGATCGAGGCTATCAACGGACAGAGCCTGCTGGGCTGCCGGCACTACGAGGTGGCCCGGCTGCTCAAGGAGCTGCCCCGAGGCCGCACCTTCACGCTGAAGCTCACAGAGCCCCGCAAGGCCTTTGGTGAGGGGCTGTGCGGCTTGGTCACCTGTTGACTTGGTCCAGTCTGCAGTGCCAAGGGCCACCAGAAGGTGGTGCCCGAAGCCCAGCTGGCCACAGTGGAAAGGGAGGGCCTGCTCCACCCTGCCCTGGGAAGGGGGTGCTGGCTGGCTGCCCAGCCTGGGAGGAGGATGGAGGCAAGGAGGAAGTTGCCCCCACACCCAGCTTCCAGGAGCCATTAGCCCAGCCAAGCGCCCCCAACCCTGGCCAGCACCCCAGCTCCCAGAAGCCAGGCTTGGCTGCCCTGTGCCAGCCTCCCCACTTTTCTGCCTGGCTTCATTAACTCCCAGGAATGGGCCCAAGGTCCCTGGGGTGGGGGTGGGGGACTCTAAAACACTTCCCCAGGCAGATAGGGCTGGTCTGTGGCTATACCCCCTCGGCCTTGGGGAAAGCAGCTGGAGACCCAGAACCCACCCACTTCCTGTCCCTTGGGCCCTGGGAGCAGAAGTAGGCCCCTTCAGTCCCCCCTCCAGCCTTTTTCATTCCCAGCCCCTGACTGCGCCTCCTCCACCCATGCTGAGCCCAAGTCAGGAGTCCTGCCCTCCTGGGGTCACCGCAGCCCCCAACTCCCCCAGAGCCTACTGAAGCTTGGAGAGGGTAGACGGTTGCCTGAGGCCGGGCCCCCTGGGTTCCTGACCAGAATGCCCTGGAACTGGGCTTCTCCAACCCTCACCCCTTCCCTGCCTCCCACAGACATGATCAGCATGCGTTCAGGGGGTGGCCGCCCTGGCTCCGGTCCCCAGCTGGGCACTGGCCGTGGGACCCTCCGGCTCCGATCCCGGGGACCTGCCACAGTAGAGGATCTGGTGAGTGTTCCAGTCAAGCCCCAGCCCCCCTTCCCTGTGAAATTCATAGGTGGCAGCATCACCTGTTAGCCGAGGGGCTCTGAGCATTGGATGCAAATCTACCTCTGCCACCTCCTAGCCCTGGGACTTGTCTTGAGCAAATGGACCTCAGTTTCCCATCTGTAAAATGGGGGTAATAATACTGACAGCTGCAGGGTTGTGGTGAGGATGAACTGTGGGCTTATATACTGAAAGTGTATACACTTTACAGTTATATTCACATTATTATGATGTCCCTCCTTCCACCCCATAGCCTTCAGCCTTTGAGGAGAAGGCCATTGAGAAGGTGGATGACCTTTTGGAGAGTTACATGGGCATCAGGGACACAGAGTTGGGTGAGTGGGGATTACCTGGGTCTGGGGAGGAGTGGGAGTTTGGGGGAAGGGGCTTCTAGGTCCCATGGGGCTGGGTCTCTCTTGAGTATCTCTGCCATCTGTGTCTCCATTCTGTTCCCCGTCACCCTCCAGCGGCCACCATGGTGGAGCTTGGAAAGGACAAAAGGAACCCGGACGAGCTGGCTGAGGCCCTGGATGAACGGCTTGGTGACTTTGCCTTCCCGGACGAGTTCGTCTTTGACGTCTGGGGGGCCATTGGGGACGCCAAGGTTGGCCGCTACTAGGCCTCCTGCTGGACCTCAAGATGACTTGGGCCAGGCCTGGTGGGAACCTCTGGGGTGGGGACACCACAGCCCGGACCCCAGCATCCAGCTTGGGCCTAGCTCAGTAGCCCTAGGACGATGTGGAGCAGTTGGGGTGGGGAGCCGGGCCTCTGCCCCACTCCAATCGGTACCACCCTCTCGTCAGTTCCCAGCGGGGTCCCCAGCCCCCCACCTCCGCCCTGTTCCCCACCTACCTCAGCCGGGTCAGGCGGGGGGAGGGACCAGCCAGATTGGGCGGCCACCCAACCCCCAACACTTTCCGCATCAGCTGCCAAACTGGTCCCTCTGTCTCCCTGGGGCCTCAGATTCTGTTTGGGGGTCGTGACCTCCCTAGTTTCCTGACGCAGGGAATGCAGCAGGGGGGTGTTCCCCCTGAGCAAATGCAATAATACCCTCCCCGTCTACCACCCCCCGCCCCCAGAGGAGCCCCCTCACTGTGGAGTCTGTTACCTCCGCATTTGAAACATGAGTCTGCTGTGAAGCCCCCAAACTCCCTTCCTCCCTGGCCCCCTGTGTCTCCCTCAGCCCAGCCCCGGACCGGACCGGGGGCAGGAGGGATGATGGCGGTGGGCTTTTGTATCTGAATTTGCCGCCTTGAACATGAAGAATCTATCTGCTGTTGGACCTGTGTGGTGGTTTCGGGGTGGGAGAGGAGGATGGGACGGTGCTGGGAAAGAATGCAGCAGCTGAAATCCATCCTCTTCGGGCTCCAAATTGAATTAGGAGCTGGCCCCAGCCACCCGCCCCCTCCCACTCGTTCCGCCTGACGAGGCTCTTGGCTGCAAGCCACCAGGCTTCCAGGCAAGGCTGGAGCTTCTCAGCCCTATTGAGGGTGCAAATCTTGGTCCCTCTCGAAAGAGGCTTCCCGCCACCCCTTGCCTGATGTGAACAGTGGGTGTGAGGCTGTTGGCTATTGCCCATTACAACCCAGGACTGCAGACAGCCCTGGGCAGGAGGCATGGGGAAAGCAGGATGGGGTGGGCTTAAGATGGAGTCTCAGGTCTGTCCCCACGAGTGCTGTTGGGGAGGAGCCACGCCCTGAGCCTTGGGGAGTGCCTTGATGCACCCCTGCCCCAGTTGACTCTGGATGTGCGGGGTCTGCCGGCGTCTATGGCGCGCCGTGCTCTGTGCTGGACATAAACCCAGCGTGCTTGTTTTGACAACCCACTTGATCCTTGAGGATTGAGAGCAGGATCAGGAAAGGGGGAGGTGGGACCCTGGCCAGACCTGGAGGGAAGAGCCAGGATTGGAGCGAGGGGAACCGGGCCAGAGGTCCCCGCAGGAATGTTTGGGGGCAAGTTGAGAGGGGAGATCTGAGCCCAGCCTGCTCCTGCTCCCCACTTCCAACGTGCAGGTTATGGGCCCTGAGAGGGGGAAGTGGGGAGGACCGGCTGGGCTGGGGGCAGGGACGGGGGGTTACTCCGGGCATCCCTGGGCACCTGCTGGCACTTCATGTGTCTGTGCTAATAGCTCTGGGTGCAAAGGGGTGTGGCTGTGTGAGTCTTGGTGTTGAGTGGGTAGGCCTATTTGTTGGTGGTCTGTGTGCAGGGGAACAGGGTTTGACGACTGCTTTCAGGTTCCAGGGTGTTTGTGGATATCACTGGCAGAACCCGTGTAGGGTGTGGCCCGGTGCTCGCATCTCAGGCTGTTCAGGGCTGTGTGTCTCTGGGTGTTGCTGTTTCTAGGGGAGGTGCTGAGTGGCTAGATCTTGGGGTGTCCAGGGGATGCCACTCCTTGTGTCTCAGGTGTGTGGCGTGTGTGCCTGTGGGCCCTGTCGTGGACCATTAGAGGGCATCTGCAGGTGATATGGGGTGTGGCTGAGGGGCTGTGTCAGTGGTAGCGGATCGTGTGCCTTGCTCAGGGTGCTGAGACTGTATTTGCCAGCACTGAGGGGTGTGATGGCCCCATTCTCAGGGGACTGTATTTCAGGATGTTGAGAAAAGTGGGTGTTAGAGTCGGTAACTGGGCACCTCTGGTGCTAGGGGTGAGACTGTCCCCATGTGACGATGGTTGACCCCAAGTCTCCGAGGGGCGTGGCTGTCGCTGCACTGGAGTGATGATGGCTGTTCTTGGGGTGCTAAGGGATATGACTGTGTATCTTCAGGTGTGAGACTGTATCCGTGTGCCCCTCAGGGATGTGACCCTACTTCTCAGGGCAGGAGGTGAGGCTGCAGCTGTGTGTCCTCAGGTGTGGCTGGCGAGGGCTTGGGACTTCTGCGTGCATATGCACGCGCTCATCACGTCCTGAAGCAGGATGCAGGAGAGAGTCCACTGGTCACCGGACCTCCTGGTTCCCCTGCCCCTTCTTCAGCCTCCTTCCTCTCTCTTCCCAGGGTATGACTCGCTGCAGCCCTAGCCTGGGCTTTAAGCCCCTGTGTAAATAATGGGCGGATCTCCTGGACAGGCTGGGCCTGACCCAAGCTGATCCACCCAAGGCACTGCCCACCACCACCCACCCACAAAGGCTCTGGCAGGGCAAGTGGCTGCTGCTGTCCCTACCCAGAGCTAGCCCTCCAACCTGGCAGTCCCGGTGGGGGAAGCGGCACCCCCTCAGCCACCCCAGCCTGCCTTGAGCGACACTCACATTTTCCAGTGTTTAGATTTTATCCGCTTTATTAATGAGGCGGGTGAGAGGCCCAGGCCTGGGGGTGGTGGGAAGGGGCTGCTCCCACCCCGCCAGGGGGAGAGGGTCATGTGGGGCCAGGCCGACTTCCCAGGTCCCCCCTTCCTCATGAGGGAGCTGGGGCCCAGAGTGGCCCCTGACCATTGCCAGGAGTGCGAGAGGGGTCGCTGTCACCCCAGGCCCCCTGCGGGCAGCGTGCTGAATGAACCAGCCCCTGGAGGCTGAAGCGGGCAGCGGGAGGAGGCAGGGAGCAGAGGAGCCGCCCAGGGAGGGAGGGAGGGAGAGAGGGAGCGGCCTGTCGGAGAGCTGGGGCGAAGCAGGCGCGGGCGCAGCGGGGCAGCCGGCGCAGCGGGGCAGCAGGGGCCAAGAAGCAGGCAATGGGGACCTTGTGTCCCAGCCAGTGCCGGGTAAGAAGGCTGGGGCAGAAGGATTTCCAGTGGGGGAGGAAGGCAAGGAAGGATGGGGCCTTGGCTCTTTAGTCTGTCCTGTGTTTGATTCTCAGCCCCATCTGTCTGTCCAACCTCCCTCCCCATGTGAGCCAGCAGGCAGTTCAGTCCTCTCAGCCCTCACCAGTGGGGTATCAAGGCTGGGTCAGCCTTGAGGCCTTTGGGGCAGAGACATGGAGCTGGCAGGAGCGGGACTATGGGTGTCCTGGGTGAGGCAGCAGCGGTCAGAGGTAGAGCCTGGGTGAGAGACAGCAATAGAGCTCAGAAATGGGAATGTGGGGTCCAGGGATGGGACTCTGGGGACAGGGAAAGGGCTGTGGGGACAGAGATGTGGCCAAGGGGACAGAGATGGGTTTCTGGGGACAGGGACGAAGCTGTGGGGGCAGAGATGGGTGTGTGGGGACAGAGATGTGGCTATGAGGAAAGAGACAGTGTGGTGGGGAGAGATGTGCCTATGGTGGCAGAGGTGGGGCTGTGAGCATCCAGGATGGGACTGGGTTAAAGGTGACACGGTGATGGTCAGAGATGGGTCAGTGGGTATCAGATGGGGCCAGAGGCCAGGAATCTGCTGTGGTGTCAAGATAGGAGGTGAAAGTGTGAGGCAGGTGGGTAAGGCCAGAGGTGGGGACAGAGACAGGTGGGGCTGGAGCCCTTGAGCCGTGATGGACAGTGAAGGGGGCAATGAGGGCAGACTGAGGCCAGGAACAAGAGATGGGCTGGTGAGAGGCAGAGGAGAAGTGGGCCAGGAATGGGACAGCCAGAGTCATCTGGAGTTACCAGGGGCAGAGGGGCCACCGAAGAACACCATGGCGTCAAATGGGTCCTGATGATCTGAGATGGGACCACCGGCTGGTCTCCGCCCAGCGGTGGGACCTCACCATCCCCTCCTCTCCTCTCCCCAGCCCCACCCCCGGCACCTGACATGAGCCCTTGCGGGCCTCTCAACCTGAGCCTGGCAGGCGAGGCGACCGCGTGTACGGCACCGGGG